TGACAGGGACTTTCTCTGTCCTGCCATGTTTGTTGTTGGTCCCCTTCTTATCGTCCCTCTCCCTTTCTTTCCTTTTCTCCCCTGCTCTGGAAGACTCACCCCGCCTGGCCCTTGTGATGTATTCTGCGTTTATGTACTTTTGGGCCTTGGCTAGCAGCTCTGGCATGCTCTTCGGTGGGCACTTCAGAACTGAGAAAAGGAAGCTTGATGAACGGAGGCCACCTAAGAAGGCGGTCATCGTCACCTTGTCGTCGGGTTCATCAACTTGGAGTACCTCCTCGTTAAAACGAGTGAGGTAACTCCTCAGGCTCTCCTCGCGGTCCTGCTTTATACTAAGCAGGTGCGTAACTGGCTTCTGGTGGCGACGCCCTCCAATGAAGTGTGAGACGAATGATCTGCTAAGTTCGGCGAAAGAGGCAATAGAGGCGGGGGAGAGCTTAGCAAACCACTGTCGGGCAGACCCCTTTAACGTGGTTGGAAATGCCCTGCACATGATTTCGTCTGGTACGTTGTGCAATTGTATCAAGGTCTTGTAAGTGTCGAGGTGGTCCAGTGGATCCTTTGTTCCATCAAATGTCTCCACAGATGGCATTTTGAACTTCTGAGGGAGGGGATAGTTTGCTACATCAAGTTTGAAAGGCGTATCAGTACGCCATACCAAGTGGTCAACAGTCTCGGGTCCCTGTGCCTTCATGGCGTTGAAGACATCACCCAGTTGATTTTGTACCTCCTTTATCTTCTCGTCCCAATGATTGGGGGCTCCTCTGGAATGATCATGGAAGTGGCTTCCATGCTCCATGCTTTGGTTTTCACCCTCATCCTCCTGAAGATAAGGGTGTTCTCCCTGGGAAGCAAGGGGAGGGGGAGGTGGAGCTCCCTCATGTTGGGCTTCCCGAAGTGGGCCGCCCAAGTGGAGCAACAGGGCGTGGTGCTCCTTGATATCCAAGACGTGGAGCTCCTTGGGGTGCTCCATGTTGTGCACCTCCGTGGGGCCCTCCATGTTGTGCACCTCCGTGTGGTGCTCCACTTTGGGGTCCTCCATGCTGTGCACCTCCGTGTGGTGCTCCTCCTTGTCCAACAAGTATGAGTTGCAGTAACTGTTGGTTTTGAGCAACCAGTTGCTGCATGGTCTCTAATATTTGCTGGGGATTCGGAGCTAGAGTATCTGGAACAGGGTTGGTAGGCGAGGGAGCAACCTCCTCCTCTCGTGGAGGATTGTCTTCATGTTGGTTCATGGATCGAGTAGTGATCACCATTAGTTAATGGATGTAATGTTCAAGAGTGAGAATTTTGTCGAATTTCCACAGACGGCGCCAAACTGATGATGCACAAAAATGATTTTGCACACCACCTGTCAAGTGTAGGTAATAAATGCAGTGAAATCAATGAGAAAATTAAATAAGACACGATATATAGTGGTTCGGTCAATTCGACCTACGTCCACTCTTCAATGGCTTCAGTTGTCGGGTATTTTATTAATTCAAAGGTATGGAGAATAGAGATACAAGTTTTAAGAGAATGGAGAATCAAAGAAGCAGTGGTCTCCGATCGTCGATCTGTCCTCTGTAAGTGTTGGTGGGGCGTGTCATTTATAGTAGTCTCCTAACAGATTGGGGCTACTTTATAACAGCTAAGAGATCATTCTTTGTGGAGATCATGACTTATCCTCGCAGCTAAGAGATCATTCTGGTGGAGATCATGACTTATCCTCAACGGAAGGAGGAGGTTGGAGAGCTCTTCATGAAACGCGGTCAAAGATTGGACCGTTTCCTTCGGTGGTGCAGATAAGCTTCTCATACTCTCCTCTTGATGACGTGCTAAGCAAAAAGTCTAACCGGTCTTAGACTGTCTTGGGCTTGGTGGATTCAAAATGAGGTTGGGCTCCTCCACTGGGGTTGGACTTTAACACATAAATTGGACTATTTGGGCTTAACTCATCACTGGTCATACAAGGGCAACGAGGCGGCGAGCTTGATCGAAAAAAACAACGGTGTTATTTATGATACCTTCTTCGACAATCATTTTAAATTCATCTATTTTTTCTAGGTTAATTTTTTTTTTTTGGACAAGAAATACACAAAATGACTAGAAAATAAAGCAAGAGTAACTCACATTTCAAAATTTGTATTAACATTCGTTATTTGAAAAATAATTTAGACATGCATGTAAAAAATTGTTTGTATTGAATCACCATTAATCGGAATATTAATTTGTTGACATGCACATAATGGTACACATAAGAAATGAATACCAAAATTTTCATATTATTTATTGAAAAGCCAGGAGAGGAATTAATAAACAAAAATAAGGGGATTAAAAATTGGACAAAATTGATTTGATTGATTTGTAATATTAAAATTTACTTCATATATTTAAAGGGTAGAATTATAAAATTGGGTATGCATGGTTTTCCTTTCTCGTAATTTTCCAACTTATACCAAACGATTGAAAATATATCTCTTTTATTTTTCATCATTCTTACTAAACAAAAAAGAAAAAAATATTTTTTCTTTCTTTCATGGATAGAAAGTTTATTCATTTCACTTTTTCTTCCTGCCGTCTTTCCATCCTTCGTACCAACCGAACCATATTAATGGGTTGAGTTTGTATGATGTACCGCTTTCAAATTTACTCAACATATAGCAGACCGATTTTTAAACTTGTATAGTTGTGTAGTCATATTTATGGTTTCTTAACTCTTGTCTTGTATAATATTTATTAAGTGTGTTCATATCCCCCTCTCATTAATGATCCAAACCCGTTAAGGTTAATCTTATAATGATTCACTTTGTATCAAGTTCTTGTCAGACTTAATGGGTTAGATTTAGAACTACCAAACTTGTCACGAACTTAAATTATAAAAAAGATTAGTAGTACTTTTGGTCTTTTAAAGTATGTATATTTTATCAATTTAGTTCTCAATGTATTAATTTTATCAACTTGTTCTCTAAATATTTAATTCGTGTCATTTTGATCCCCACATAGACGGATCGTTAAGTTTTTTTACAAAAGCGGTCATGTGTCATTTTTTTAAACGATATCACGCGCCCAACACATGATCATTTTATAAACTTAATAATATATATATCTGGGGACCAAAATGATATGAATTGAATATTTTAGGGATCAAATTAATAAAATTGATATATTAAAAATTAAACTGATAAAAAATACATAATTTAAAGATTAAAAATGTTTAACCCTTATAAAAACAACGGCTACATACGTGCAAATACGACACACACATCTGACCCAACTAATGTTTGATTCTTTCGGAGGTGCCATCAAAAGATCAATAGAAGCCTACCAGCATGGGTTGGTCAACCTTAAATCTATTAATTTATTTCTGTGACTTACAAAACAAAGTGAAATTCTAGTGAACCAATTCAATGATAACTCAACTTATGACAGGGACGAGTTGTAAGTTTTGATATCTTAAATTCGAATTTTAACAATCCTCTTAGAGTCAAGTTATGTGAATGATGAATATTTTAGTTTCAGTATGGACGACTTGTCTTTAACTAGACAGAGACTATTGCACCAAAAAAAAAAAAAAAAAGAAATCCTAGGGGACCAACCAACCATAAGCCCCAACTTCAATGATTGTTAATGAAATTAGGACCACATTTTGTTCCAACTTTCGGTGTGTCGGCTCCACCCTTGAGTTTGTGCTGCATCTCAGTCTTCAGCTGTGGATTACGTGGGATAGGATTATGCAGCAAACATTCAACTTCTGGGGTAGGTCTCTTCGCAGATCGGCATAGAAAAAAGTTGGGAGATTCTGGAAAAGAAAAAGGTGGTCTAATTAAAAAGATTTTCGTGTTCTTAAGAGCTGTAGGTTCAATCCACAGGACACTAAATGGAAGAGGTGACCAATACTAATGGTACTCGGTAGGAGACTCGAGAGAATATGCAATCAAATCGATAGAAAGAAAAAAACTTGGAGGTGAAGTGACTTCTATGTGGTACCGGTCTAAGACTCTCTTACGCTCAATTTAGATTCTATGAGCCTTAGGACGAAAGGAAAACACCCACTCTTATGTGTTTCTGTATGATCATCGCATAAGTTTACAGTAATTACAAAATATAAGCATAGACCAGAGGCATATCCTGATCAAATACCAGCAAAAACTCATTAGTGCACGAATTAGATACCCCAACCCCACCATACAATGCTCCAAAAGAATCAATACACAGCATTATGAAAGGTGAGAATGTATGTGGTTGGATGCCCATCAGACCAGAGCATGCAAAACACCACCTTCCACAGAAAATGGCAAGAGCAAAAGTTACCTGTTGACAACTCTTTTGCCCAGAGCTTCAGATCAGAGATAGAGATTCTGTAAAAAGAGGTAAAGCAGGATATACCGACCCCACCCCTCCCCAAAAATAAAATAAAATAATGTGAGGACCATAGAACCTACTTTCTGGTTCTAGAGACAACTTTCAGAAGATAGCTAGGAAACCTGCCAAACTAATATCAAAGTGATATCAAATAATTATTTCAATGAACATGAGTAGATGTTCCAACCACTTCTGGATTTTCCAAGAGCAAACGAGAATGATTACCCTGCATAAGAGTTAACAGCATGCTTCCTAATGGAATGCTCTCTCTCTCTCTATCATACGCAGACAACTCCAACACAATTAATGAATTTTCCTATATTATCCATCCTATAGACCTAATTCTTACTGATACATATCTGTAAGCAAACATTTTTTTTAATCTACCCATAGTGCTTCTACTTGTTTTGTTCTGGAAAAATAAAATTAGGGGCTCGAACAAATAAAGACGAAGATGAGAAGAAACAAAATCACCCACAAAGCACAATTTTTTTCTAGTGGTTCAGCCTAAAGATTACATCCGTAGGGTTTAAGGTTTAAACCTTACTGGTTCCTCTAAAATATGATATAATTATTAATTGAATACACGTCCCTAATGCAATATAGTATTTCTCTGAATCTGAAAGATGGAAGCAAAACACAAGATATAACAAAACATTGTCATTTATTCAACAGAACCCTCTTGAGTAACATAAAAAAGTTTTGGATATACACTTGAGCAATGGTTTGTTTGATCTCCCATCACAACTTGGATTCATTCAATGCATCTACACACATTTTTACAGTGACAAGAAAATCCATACTGATGTGTTAAGAAAAAAAATTTAGAAGATTCAATATTTACAGGAGCATATAAAGAAAAACCTCAAAACATATTGGAAAGCCTTCCTTCTTAAAGAGCATAAGTTGCTTTCAAATATTCAACTATCTCTGCGCTCTCAAACATTTGCACCCCGGTATTTGGATCTTCTAGATAAGGTACCTGTCAATGAACTGTTAGGAAATTCACACGAAATTCTCAAACCTGTGAGAAACAACAATAGAGAAAACACATGCCAAAAAAAAACAATCACACGTGCAAGACAATATTTACGTGGTTCGGCAATTTGCCTACGTCCACGAAGCTGCAGGGGTTTCACTATTCTCAAGAACGATTAAGGACGGCGGCCGTACAGAGTCAATCCAACCCTAATCACCCAAAAGAAACTGGTTTTATATGTCTTGCACCGGGCTACAAACAAACAGGCCAAAAACAATTTTCTCGAACCCCCACGAGGCTTGTCCATAAGCGCTACGGCTTGGGCCGCTCCATGGACTAAACCTTATAAAATTTCCCATTAAAAACCACGAAACATTTTTCGGGTCGAGTTATCATCCGGATCAACATAAAACTAGACTCCACAAAAAAACCCAACATGAACACCAATGAACTTTAATACTTTTCTGTTGATTTAAAGCTGTGGGATGCAGCAAAAAACAATTTATTGATATCACATATTCGAGATAGCGGATGACTCATATTCACTAAACTCAAGAATTCAATGGCCAATTGGTGGAGTGGAGCGATGCACATAAACCCATCAGAGATGCACGGTCAAATAATAGTGTGGTAGAGGTGTAGCCACCCACAGTATGATATGGGCATATTGGATATTTGCAATGTATCAGGATTAGGATTTTCAACTGGTGCATCCATATAATTTATAACCCTGTTACACTCCTCAAAGAAAAAAAGGTGGCGGCCATTCTCGTGGATATAGGTAGGAAGTCTGCCAAACCACGGAAATGTATGTATTTGCAGTTTTGATTGCTTTTCTCTTTCATCGACTGTTGACTACATTGCACATTCAAAAAATCACAAAAGTAGAAGTACGAATTTAAGAAAAGGATGAACCTGAAAATGTCCAACTTTCTGATATAGTTCCTGTCGTTTTGGGCTGCCACGAGCACAACTGCAACATAAAGTTTCCAAAACAAGTTTCAAAACAATTGAACAATTTTGTCCAATACAAGATTCATGCCAAAAAGTACCAAAAGGTATATCCTTGAAGCTTGGGAGTAAAACACAGAAACTTAGAAACGAATGGCAAAGATTAACCAACCGCAGAAACAATATACTCCATTCAGTCAATGAACTCAAACAATTCAATTCAACTATACTCAACAAAACCTTTGTGTTAAATAGTTCATGTAGGCCACAAGGATTGTGTGTTGCAATCCACCACAAACAATGTCTTTTCTCGCTGCTACTAGGCTATTTACATCGCGGCCCACCCATGTCCCTGCCATTCATCCCTGTTTTCTCAACTGCTGATCCTCACTACAGAAACCAGACCACCTTATTTAATTTTTTTTTCCTATCCTCTCCCTAATCAGTAGCAAAAACAATTGAACGAAGGTTTTATGAGTTGCAGGGGATAGCAGCAGTAAAATGATAAATAAGCCTCAATATCAGCAGCCAAAACACTTGAAATCAGGAGAGGTTATGTGAGTTATATAGTGTGTGAGCACTGTAAACTAAGTAAATCTGATAAGAACCTGATCAATTCACAGTTTTGAACTCCATTTCCATCTAAAGTATAATGATTCACATCAATAAGTATTGTAAGAGTACAACTTATATGCAACTAGAGAACAACCATATACCATTTTGTTTTTTGTCTCTAAATATACACATGAATTCATATTTTTCAAAATCCAAATCAATAGAGCTGTACGTGATCTGCATCGACTGGCCATAATAGATAGAAACCACCTATTGGTTAAGGCATTAAAATAGACATAAAAGTAAAAAGGGCACAGGCAAAATGTCACTTGAGCACAAGCAAACTAAGTCATCGAGTAAAATGGTTACATGGACTATACCTGCGAAGTAGGTGTGGTAGCTCTAACTCTACAAGTACTTCACGAACAACTTTGCAAAAAGGGGAAGGCTGAAAGGAAAATAAAATAATGTTGTCCATGAGAAATTATTACAGTTGCAGTATTTTACTTCAACCCAGGCAAGGATGACCGATCATAGAAATGAATTTCTACTTCTGGAAACTCTACATAGAATCATATGTATTGAATCCTCAAGTACGCTGTAATAAAGTCTAACCTCGTACGCCCATATTTCAAGAGCTTTTGGTGGCATTTTTGATGGAGAATAAGAAGATCCCTTCAGAAAAAACACAATAAGAGATTGGTCGGGGTTATTTTGTACAATTACATATCTATAGCAAAGAATGAATCAAATTAATCTGATACATTATCCAATGCAGGAGACTAATCTTTCTTTGTATAGAATGAAGTAAAAATTTATTAATTTTAGAATACTCTTCCTTCAGTCTCCCACCCTACCCTACACCTCCCAGATAAAAAGAAATAGTTACATAAAATTACATATAAACTGCACCCATTACAAAGGGCTTCATTTTTAACATTTTTGGTAAAAGTACTTATAACCCATTAGAAATTTAGAGACAAATGTACCTTTCCCATGCGACCAATCATGGCAAAACCTGCCGTTAACGTCTGCAACAGAACAAGTCAACAAGCAACACACAATAAATTGTACAATCAATTAGCTTGACAAAATCAGCAGTGCAAGATTACGATGCTAACCGTAAGTAGACCTAGTGACAGCATGAAAGGGATGTTTCCATCACCTATGCCAAAAAAATCAACAGAGCAGATGTTTAGTACAATCATCATGTGCGGCAGAAAGAGTATAAATATTTTACACATAAGCAAAAGTATATGCAGCTTAAAAATAGAAACACAATTCTTATATCTGCTTTTGTGATGGATGGGTATTTAATAATAACTACGTAATTGAAAAAAAAAAACATGATAAACCAAGAATAAAGCTACAGAAAGAAGTTTAGTGTAACTACACTGACCATATTTTCCAACCAAATACTTAATTATATCATCTGATTCATACATTGCAACTCCTGTATTTGGATCCACCTGCAGCCAAAGATAGTAATAAGCTTAACCCCATACCAAGAAATCAATATAAGTTGGATCATACTTAAAAATTGGGAAAGGACAAAACAGAAATAAGAAAAGAAAAGGTACATAAATGAGTTATTGGATAATGAATGTGAAATGAGCCGAATGGTTGACAACTGGGTTTAATGTTCATGTATCTCATGTTGAATCGAGAAGTAGATAGACAGGATAACTAGTTTCTAAACATAGCAATGCCAACTTAAAGGACAGGTCACATCAACTCCCATTGAATTGGGATTTCAAATAAGTACTACATTGAAGTAGCCCTAATTCGACCCTATCAGGACCATAACAACTCTTTTTCAGCTGCTAGAAATCCTAGGAACTAAATTTCTTTCCGAAATGGCTAAAACGTCGAGAACATTTCGATTACATGGAAACTGAAACGAATCAGTTAGTGGATATCAAAGGGGCTGTTTGTTTAGTGTGTTTGTCTTGTGCTATGTGTTTTTGTTTTCAATTTTTGTCAAAAATGAAAACAAAAATATGTTTGAGTACTATTTTTGTTTTTGTTTTATATTAGTTGTCTATAAACAAAGACAAAAAAATGAGAACAAAAAAAAGATGTTCCAAGAAACATTGAAAACAGATACAACACGCGTAAGGGGGTGGGGGAATTAATTAGATCCAGGTTTCGAGTCGTCTTAGCAGCAAAATATAACTTTTTTTTGTTGAAATATAAAAACCCATTTCATCACCTCTCTCCTCCCCATCGTTTCTCTGTCTCTCCTCTCTCTGTATCAGACGAGCGCCTCCCTCTGCCTCTCTCTCTCCATCTCTATCTTTCATGCCTTCGTTGCCTCCATCGATGCATCCCTCTCCATCGCTGCCTCCATCAATGCGTCCTTCTCCATCGCTGCCTCCATCGCTACCTTAAGCGCTGTTTCTATGGCTCTTCATCACATCTCTCTCTCTCTCGCCTTGGTTTGTGCAACGAAGAGATCTCAGATCTCGAGTGTATGATTTCTACCTCCATCGCTACTTCTTTGTTTGTGTGTGTTCTGTGATTTTTGGGTCTCTATGTCTCTGATGTGTGAGTGGGTCTCTGTGTGTGTCTGATTTGTGTGTGTGTGTGTGTGAGTGAGATCTAATTTCAGTAGCAGTTAGGGTTGGGGTTGATTTTTCAGATTCCATTAGCAATTAGGAAATGAATGGGGAAGGATGGTCTTGACAGCATCTTTTTCTTATGGTGTTTGTTAGAATGTAGAGGTTGAGTTCAGAGCTCTTTCGGATGGATTGAGGTTGGTGGACAGATATGGCTTGTTTGCTTAAAATATTGATATTGAGTCAGACTCTTTGGTGCTAGCCAATACTTTAAAAGGTATTATGCGGTGTTCATGGCCTTTGTGGGGGATTCTTGCTCAAATTATGAGGCTTTTGAGTAAGGTGAAGTTTAAGATGAGGCATGTTTATAGGGAAGCTAATTTGGTAGCTGATGGGCTTGCGAATAGAGCAGTATTGGATGGATTTTCTTCGGATTTTTCTGTCTCCAATGTGTTGGTTGCTACTGTACAGATGAGGATGGTACAGGACCTGAGGAGGCTGCCTTTTCTGCGAACTAAAAAGGTGGTAGTTTTTGATGATTTTGGTTAAGCGTTGTTGGTTTGAAGCTGCTGAAGGTTTGGTGGGGGTGCTGATTTGAGAAGTTCAAGGGAGCCCTGGTGTAAATTTCAAGGCTAATTGAATGTTTTGAAGGATTAAAATCATAAGTGTAATGTAAATGGAGTTTTTCCCTTTTGTTTATTGTAATATTCTTTCATTCTTTCAATAAAATTTTGAGTTAGGATTGATTTTGGCCTTGAGTAACAATATTGTACTTGATTAGTTTAGGGATTTGTTTGAGGATTATCTTGCCACCCCAAAGACTCCCAAACATGTTTCTGTTTTCAATGTTCACCATAAAACAAAGACAACTTTTGTCTCTGTTTTTAATTGTTTTTGAAGATGTCAAAACAAAAACGTTACCAAAAGACCCCAAAATTCTTATATTTTGAGGTATTTCGAGATGTTTGGTTATGTTTCAATGTGTTTCGGTATTTTTTATTATTATTTCAGAATGCTTCGCAAACAAATTTTCTATTATTTTCTTTGTTCCATCCTGTTTCTGAAACATTTTAGTTTTCAAGTTGACCAAAAGTATCTCCCAAAACGAAATTTTGATTCTCGGCTAAAATCAATATTATGAAATTGCAATCAAGTACATAAATTTGCAGAACATAATTTTTATAGGACTTGTTTCAACAGTCAACACCAAATTAATTTTGATTGAATAGCTATTTAATTTATGTGAAGTCAGCCACAAGCAAATGCCATATGTGTCCAGATCGGATTTAAGGTCTACGACTTTATAGGATAACATTCTCTTTTATCTCCTGCAATCAATGTTTAATTAAAATGATTCTGATATGTCTTCTATCCAAAATGCATGGGAGAACACATATCAGAGAATCACAAGACATGAGCATCATACTGAAATAACTCTTCTGAGATGAAGATTGCTAGAATCAAAGAATGCATGAGGTAGTGGGAAACTGGAAACTTTTTATGGGCTCGTATTCCATGTGCGGATGGAGAAATGGTAATTTTTTTCTTTATCTATTTCCAGTATTTTTTCAAGCACGTGGAAGAAATCATTTTTTTCGCTACAAACATATTCATCTTCTCTTCTTAGTGAAGTCCAGTTTTTTTTCTGTGTTGCCTTCTCTGTTAAGTGAAGAGACAAATAAGGAAACAAAAGACTAAGCAAATTGGCAAACCATGTAAGGGAACTGCTGCTTTCCACCAATCTCAGCAACCTTGCGACGGAAATTTGGACCATTTCTTGGGCAAGGATAAAACAAGACATCAAGATCTAACACTGCAACAATTTCCCTGACCTGTATTTACTCAATGTGTCAGTCGACACCACTATTAATGCATAGAATATGACAGTTCAGTGATATGTCACTAAAGAGAAATCAATTAGCAAAGACGCCAATTAATATGGACCCGTGGTGATGTGAACCGTCATTTCAGTGGACCATGAATGCTTTTCTTGGATCAAGTGTAGCCCAAAACCAATTAGATATTAGAAGCATCACACCAGTTTAGTTATATATCATAATAGTTAAACTATAACATCACTATAAAGACCTAAACTATGACACCTACAATCACCTTGTTCAACCAAAAAATGTAGTAAAACCCCTACCCAAGATTGCAACCGCAGATGTGAAGTTCACATTTATAAGGCATTAAAATCATGTGTGTGGATGGTCTGTCAGTTTTCTTGGGAATGTGATTTTGTCTTCTCAAAGTAACATAACATGCATTGGGAAAGTAAACTCACAGATCCAAAGGTAAATTGGACAAGGTAAAAAATTAGACCCGTAATGCTGATGATACCTTTCGACAAAATGGGCAGCTGAAGTTTCCACGTTTTCCATGATGATCAACATTGGGAGAAAGCAGCACATGCAGTCAGTCTCAATTAAACATGGTGCCAATATGAAAAGTTAAAGCAGAAAAATGGAACAGAAATGAGAAAGGCTGTAAAAGTCTTAAAACACACGTAAGCACTCGCATCCCTTGGTGCTTACTAAATCAAACAGAGAACAAGTCATATTAAAATTAGAGTACCTTTCGAATTCATATATTTCAATAGGCTTCTCAGGGCGGGGGCCTAGTTTTGAAGTTTCTTTCACCTTATAACCTGTTCCAACACAGTTTGACCAAGAGATAAAGAAAAATACCAATTTTTTTCATTTGCAAAATTGCATATAGTATTTTAATAAGCTTACAGATGGTCATTGAGATGAGTTGGAAAAGGACAATTTTTAGAAGATTCAAACAGCAATAATTCCTCGTCAAAAATTTTATAAATGACAATGAAAACCACAAAACAAAGAGAGATGCACATAACCCAACAAAACAATCCAAGATTCACTCACCAATGCTACAGCAAAAGCAAGCAAACTAGACTCATCAACCTTAAATACCCAAGGAAATCATGTATTCCAATTTCTTCAAGCATTGTAATGGATACAACTGAGGCAACTATCATGCTCAAAATGGAGAAAAATGTTTTAGCAGGAGACTGACAGATTTTAGAGCCTTACAGCATGCAAGTTGAGAGCATCTAACTAGCCACCGATTGACCGAAAAAATATGTTGGCAATAGGCACATCTTTCCTAAATCCAATCAAACATAATAGCCCTGGTATTCCTTGAGAACATCAAAGTGAAAATTTCAATTACAAAGACTCATAAATTTTGCAAAAAATGCAACACATTACTTCTGCTAGGATAACTTAAAAAGTATTCAACACAATGGGGATCATCCAAACTTGTAAGACAAGTAGACCACAAAAGCTCCAACAACAGTTATCAAATTTTATGTCATCTCTACTTTCTACTTTGAAGCAACAGAAATTGTTCTGGTAAAGAAAAACCAAAAGGCAGACAGATCTGTCAGCCATGGCCTGAGTTGTAAGGGAATTGTGATTAGGATAGGAATGCACCATCGACTTGTCAATTTGGGGGTTTCATTACATCCTCATGCTTGAGTGGTAAGGGTACTGTGATTAGGATACGAATGCACCATCCATATTTGGGGGGTTTAGTATCCTCAGACTTCAGTGAGATGAATAAAATTTTGATTTAGCTTGATTCAAATGAATATAAGAAACGAGAAGATTAGATGGCTACCAGCAATTTCAAGTGCATATTGGTCAGATGGAAACTCATTTTTGGGCACAAAAGACGCTGAATACCTGCAACATCGCACAAATATAGAAATCAGAATCCTATATAGCATTGGCAATCAGATTTGACAAGAAATGGCTTGTAAAAAATCTTATCCTCCTTAATGAACCAAGAAGTGCATTTGATACATCTATATATGTTTATGGATCTGCGAATCAGCAACATGTCGGCAGTGCATATTTATCTTAACTTCCTCTCATTGTAGCTTATATCTGAATTAATTCCCCAAACATGTCTTTGTATTCGATTACTCACTTGTTAACCACAAAAATACTAAGCCAAAACGTTGAAATTTCACCACTATGGGACAAAAACCAGTGACAATCCACAAGCTCTGGCATGGATAGGGAAGAATTCAAGTCCCCCTAGCACAATCTTTTTCCTAACTGTTCTACCCTGCCTTGTATCCAATCTCTCAAGTTTTCACCCTTTTATAGTTTGGCAATATTCCCACTTCTCTTTACACTAGGCACCAGATCAAATATCCACAGCTTACTTAAAAGGTCGTCAAAGAAATCTGCACCAACCTTTTGATCACCAAGGTGAATGGCTAGGGATATCCTAGTTGCACTTCTGAACAATCAGTTGATTTGCACGACGCTAGAGCCTTTGATGGTTTAGGAGTCACTAAAGTCTAACAAAATTGGTACAGGTTTGATCCTTGGTCTGGTATTCATGCGTTACACATGATTCACTACAGGAGCCTAAAACAAGCTCCATGAATGGTTCAATATTCTCTATATCATTTTCCTCATTCTTCTCCATATTTCTCAAATTTTTTGAGAACTCACCAGCAACAATGCTTTACTTCTTTCCTTCCCAATAATAACTGAATAATTAATTGGATCTTTTATAATGTTTCTTACTCTTGCCACTCCCATACTTGACAAATAATAGCATTTTGACATGTCTAAATAAGGAATGGCATGCAGAAAATTGCTATCTCTGTTCAATTCCATATTTCCCAGATTACACATCTTCTATTGAGGTATATGTGGAGTGGTAGATAGGTGTGAGTTTTGGACGTTCATTGTACAATGCTTTTACAACCATGCAGGCCCGACTAAAAGCAGACAATATTGTACAATGCAAGCCCTGGGCATTACAAAAATAGCCACCAGTTTGCAAGTGATTGTCGTCATTAGATTTTACCTAATGCATCAGACTGTAGTTACTAAATGTGCCACTACAAGAAGTCATATCTCCTTGGATATATTTTGGACAGTTGAATTTGCGATGGCTCCATGGCCATTGTTAACACTCCAATCTATACCCTTATCACCATCCTTCAACAATCCGTCCTATTTTTAAAGAAAGAATTTGGGTTTCTTCTCCTCGAGCATATTGTTGGATTTACATTTCCCCCAGTGCAGATAAGCTACTCCATCAAGGTTCAGCTGCTTCAAACAATCATTACTCTTTGCTTGTCAACCAAAGTTTACAAAATCACAAGTTCGATGAAAGTTCTGAGGAATAACTCCAACTGATAGGAGTGCAAAAAGTAAGCTTCCTCCAGCTTGATCAATTATATAAGAGCTATTTAACTCTCAGTGGAACTTCAAATTGTGTAAAACCTGATCTGTGAATCTGCACTGCTATCTACTACACTCTCCAACCCTCAAAAGTTCCTTACACTGTTCCATGGCAAATCTTATTGGCTTCCCTTATTCCTGAAACTATGAAAATGCCACCAATGTGCCACTGCACCAACTCTTGGACGGAAGAGTGTGTCACCAAGTGAACATGACGGAAAATGACACATCCTCCATACATCAGCTTCCAAGCTTCTGTGCCATGCTGAGTCGCGACGCATTGGTTAGCACATCCGACGCAGCCATGAAACCAAGTCTTGACAAGCCTCTTCGTGTATAAGTTGGAGACAATAGTAATCTCTATTGTGCATACCTAGCAGGCCACTATTACTAATTAGTCCACCAGAAATGACCAGAATCAGAAGCAATGGAATGTTAAATTTAGGCCAGTGAATTTTAGTTTTTAATGATTCTTTTTTATGTCATTGACAATCCAGGATCCCAATCAAATTCAACTTGTTACACAAAAGAGCGACTCTTTTCAGGTCAGCCCTATCTTTACCCCTTTTGAAGGCTTATAGGCCAAGGAGTGTTTAGATTGGAGCATAGTTACCCTTGGACAGAGCTATGGAAAATGCACATTAACAGCAATTTAAAAGCCCCTCCATGTCTATGTTTATTCCACCTTCAAAGCTCAAATAGCTCATCTAAACATACCTCCAATCAGAACAGCCCCCAGCAAATTTGCAGTCATTCACTGCATATAGACTAACCTCATCGCTTATTAATGTCAGCCTGCTTGCCAGTTGCTTATGGTATATTTTTTACGACTTAAGCATAGCTCAGTATGAGTTCTACCACCACCAATTTATGTCAAAAGAATGATAACAAAAAATGATAAAAATAAACAAAACGTCTTTCTCACTTTTTTAGGCACGATTTAAATGCAATAGATATGTTATGAAATGATTCCGGTGTATGAGATTTCTTTATATATTTATGGCTAATAACAGTAATGACCAAACCCTTATCCCCATCCTTCCCTTGCAAGTATCAAAGAATGTGATGCTTTTCTAAGAATTCATATATTTCTTAAATGTGGTTATGTTTGGCGTATTTTCGGATTGCAGACGTACCAAAGTCCGATTGAACTTAAAATTCAAACACGAACGACCTTATCTATTCGAACTAGTGTGAGGTTCTAAAATCGTGACTGTTCAGGCGATTGTAACGAGGCGTAAGACTAACTCTGAGTTCTTTTCTATGCCTTTGGGAACAAGGACGTTAAATAATGCCTTTGGGAACAAGGACGTTAAATAATTTTTTAACTTGTAACATAATGGACCGGAACGTAGAAAGAAAATTAAAATGTAAAGTAGAAGATAAACTAACCTTAGAGGATGAACATAATATTGTAAGTAACATTAAATAAAAGACAATATAGATCACCGGAGTGATGAGTTATAGGTAAAAGTAAAGTTGCGTGGAAGTAAAAAATAAGTAGGAGAGAGGCTGACTCTGTGTCGAGTTTATTGCATTTTTTATGGTGGATCCTTTTTGTGTATCCTTACCCTTGTTATTTATAGTGATGGCCTTCAACTTTTGAAGCCATCTTTTCCGGCCATTACCATAATCATAGCATTTTCCCTTGAGATGTGCAGACGTGCATTGAACCGTTTTCAACTAACAGCTCATGATGTCATATTTTCCCGCTTCTCGAGATCCTTAGAGTCCCACTTCCTTAACCACCTTGTCAACTATAGACCCTCATAGACTCTTTCATGATCATTGGATTGCTTTCACATGTCACCCTCAGATTTTTGCTATTTTTTGTTATTTTTAGGTGTAAACAGGTTCAAGTCAATTTTATTGTATCAGTAGATTTTTCTTTCAGTTTGGTCAATACACATTTGGATTTCTCGGAGTTGGTGAGATAAAGTAGAGTATTCAATTCCATTATAATCTACAGAAGCTTACCCTAAATTCCTATCCAATATTTACTTTTCCATTCTCCTAATAAGCAATCATGAAATTCACTGCACCCACAATATTTGTATATAATCATCAAATCAAGGACTCTACCAAATAATAAGAAACCTAAATCACAAGAAATATCAAAATGAGACCAAGTAATTCATACCCAGAAACTAAAGCACCGGTCCCAAGGCGAAAAATCAGAGCAAGAGAAGCTGCCAAGATGTCCAAAACCTTGTCGGGTCTTATCGAAAACCTCTTAGGCTCAGGAGGCTTGAAATTGGGTGGCGGCGAGAACGTCAGAGTCGAAGTCGAAGACCCTAAATTTGGTTCTTCTTTGGTGCTCACAGAAGTGGAAGTGAGAGGCGTTTCAGAGAAATTAGACGATGATTTAATAGAAAACCTACTGGTTGGTGTTCTACGACTCGAGAGTGGCCGGAAAACCGGAGTCGGTGTGAAGTTCAGAACTCCGGCCATGATTTTCTGGCGAAAATCCGGTGAAAAGGGGTTGAAGAGCAGTGGGAGAGTGCTCTGTGGTGGTGCTCGACTGCTTTTTGCTGGTGCTAATTGGTGAATGAATTGCGTATAAATATCAGTAGAGAGTAAACATGTATGCATGAGTAGGTAATACAGTTGACAGATTTACCGGCCCAACGAAACGGTTCAAAGAAAGTTGTAAACGGTCGGATAATTTAATTAAATCAAAATTTACTGTATTATGTCTGAATTTATATTTAATTAAATTAAATAATTATATCATTTTTATTATGTCATAAATATGAGTAATGTTGAATTGACCAAAATATGTAACCAAAAATAAAGATTAAATAATGTGCCATTACTATGACGGTATTGCTATTCCCATTTTTATATGTTTGAAATTTAATTTTTTTTCTATTATGGTAATGATGTATTATTTCTAAATAAAAATCATAAAATTTTAATATAATAAATTTAAATTTAAATTAAAAATGAAAAATGAAAAAATCTAAAGCATATTTCTTTAATAAGGTTAAGATTCAAATCAAAATTCTAATATGTTAATAAGTTGTGGTCTTCTTAATTGAGCCTTGATCTGTCAAACTTCTTGTTGTTCTTCGTTGTTGGGGATCGATAGAAATCCTAGTTTTGAATTGCACTAAGCCAAAGTAGTGCTAAAGAGAGTTGCCTTGGTACATGAAGGAAAAACTTAAGTTGTATCTCTTTACTATGGTAGCTCAAAGCCCACCGGTCCTGTCGACTTACAGTGTCAGCCTTGTGCCACTATGACCTGCGAGCTCCTCGTGATTTAGCTGTTGCAAGCTCCTCGCTTTCTACTAGACTTGTGCCTTCTAACTGTAGAAGTTTTTCGGCTTATCAAAATCTCAAGTTTTGATTGACCTTTCCTTTAATATTCAAAAGGTTTGACTTACGGCTAATTCCATAGAATTGGAGCGGTCACCTAGAATCAAAAGACAACTTTTAAAACCATTGAAGGTCCTTATGATTCCAAATCCCTCTAATCTAGTCAATTTCGAATCGATTAATTCTGAGATCTTTTGCAGTGTGCTTAGAAAAAGAAAAAAATGTTTCTAAAACTGTGAAAAAGTACGTCGAAAGAGCATGAATTGCTCAAGAATCCATTCCAACGATGGTTTGGAGTCAAACCTTTGAAAATCATGAAGAACAAATGAAAATAAATAGTTTTTATGATGTCATAGAGACGAAACAGAGGAAAAAATAGCAAAATTACTCAAGTCACCAGATAAAGTACTTAGCAGCCTTCTTAATTGAACTTGGATTCGCAATCCAAACACCTCCCAAATAGGGATGGCAATGGACCAGGGAAAAGCGTGGATTTGTCCAAACCCGTCCTGTTTGAACTAGGGATGGACCATACATATTTGACGGTAGACAAACATGGGGATACCTGTATAAACCAGTGCAAGAATGAAGGTGGGTTTAGACTGAAACTTATACCAGAGCCAAGTAATGGTAGCATAAATATATTCTGTTTATTTATATGCATATCTATTACTAATTTTTATTGCTTATGTAATTGTAATTTAATTGTCTTATACTACTGCTACTTTGAACTTGTTAGGTCGTTCTGTTATAATGATTTTTTTTTATTCCTATGGGTCTGCATCAAAGTCGTGTGTGGGATGTTTGCCCGTTTGTCTGAGTAAGTGTGTAAGGCCGTTTTGGTTCCCCGTAAATCGTTGACAGCAAGAGTAGGATGTAGAAGGAAATTACTATGAGAATAATAATAATAGCAAGGTTTATTGTACATTGTAGCAGTAATGTAGAAGAATTAGAAAACGAATTATTGTAACAACTAGAAAAAGGTAATAGTGAAACATATAAGTCAACAGAACAATCTTTGAGATACCAAAATGGCGTTAAACCTGTTTAAATTTAAGAATAATCATAAAGATGATTATGTTAAAAATATGAAAAAAAATAAAATTCTCTGATATTGAGTCTAAATTACAAAACTGGGATATACCCCAGTATCCTATTAAGAAAATCTATAATAATGGCACTTTTGATTCAAGTTTAACAATAACAATAATTGAAAGGACTATTCATTTTGATCAAAATGGAGATAATTTACAACTGTTAACTGAAAGAAATCTTAAAGGCTCAAGATAATTATAAATTTTTGCATATTGGATTACTTCAAGTTGCTTTAAAACCATTAACTCTTCAAGGATTAAGTGTCTCTTTTATGTTAGCATTAAGAGATGCTAGATGTTTAGATTTTAATCAATCTTTAATGGGAGTTATGCAGTCCAGCTTAAGTACTGAGCTTGAATATTTTAATTATTTTCCAAATATTTATGTATCCTTATCGAATACAAATTTTTTAGATGTTTTAACATGTAATCTTATAAATCAACAAAATATATTTAAGTTATCATTACTTGACTAGGATACCAACAAGGGGGGAAGGATAGATGCAAACAACAGCGAAAGATTTTATTTAATGCAAACTTATGTATAGAGCACACTTACAGTAGTAGTGGTGGAAGGTAGAAGATAAAAGCTAATGTAGAAGAGAGAAAGGTTTAGAGAGGGTGCAAGGGAAGGAGGGAGAAAGTGGGAGTAGGGAGAGTAGTGGGTCTGAGATGCGGTGCTCCACAGGTCAGGCCTACATCTCTTTAAATAGAAGCCAGACTTGAAATCCGAATTTCAAACAAACCTATGCTATTCACAACTTATACTATTCATAACTTTAATAATTTACATTGACATTGTTGCATGCGTCAGTAATACTGTACATCTTTTACTATTCACTATTTTAATAATTTTATAGTGACATCATGGCGTGCGTTACTTCTTCAGGGTCGACTTTATCCGAGATTTCAACTTTATCTGATCATTTCCTGTAAAGCAAATTATACTACATATTACCACTGTCATCATGGAAATTTATCTCCATATCATCATTTAGTAAATTTTCATTAATAGAGATTTCACCTTTAAGAAGGGTATATCCCTGAGAATCCATAAAGTCATCATCAAAGTCAATAGGAGTGGGGATTTTCCTATCGTCCTCCTCAATTTTATCTTTCTCTTTGCTTTCAATAACAACTGTAGGAGTGTTAGTGAGGTCCATCTTCTCGGTTTTGTCCATTCTAAATGTAGACATCACCTGAAGAAGTCACTCCTCCATAACTATTATTTTAAGCTGCTCAGTATTTAAATAAGGTTTTTCTTTTTTAATTTGTTCCTTAAGAACTTCAACATGATTAAAATTAGTTCCAATATTTATACTGGTGGTGAGAATTATAGTTGTAGAGGTTGAAGATTTTTTTTCCTCTTTTCCCATGTCTTTAAGACATTCTGCTATGACTTGACATTTAGATTCAAGCGGATAATTATTCCAACAACGAACATGGTATTCTCTGATTAATCTGGGATATCTATTTTGATTTAAATCACAAGCCAAAGTCCACACCCAAATCTATGGTATAAAGAATTCGAGTGAGAAATTAATAATTGGCTTTGTTGTTATATCACTCTCCTTTAAGGATAGACTTTTGTCTTTATACAAGTCATTATACTCCACATGTGGAGACAATGTTAAAACGGTAGGAATTATAGCGAGAGTTTTATCTCTTGCAAAAGTGTCTTTATTGTCATCTTTATATGAAGATTTTTCCTTTTGATTATCAACAGTTTTAAGCTAATTAGAAAGATAATAAGTATCTTTAAACTGTTCAAGGAGATAGTAAGCATCTTTATATGTATCAGGTTCATAATAAACATCTTTATCAAGTTCATTAGAATAATATGCATGTTTATATGCATAGATGAGGATTCGTACTGGAATACCTTTAATCTTCTCTTTTATGAGATAGATAAAATTCTGGGATTATATTCTCCGGCCAATATTTTATTCTCCAGTCAAAATACCATTCATTGACTTCAAGAATGAGACAAAATTTAGAAGAGTTTCCTTTAGCTCTTGCAATCCTTAATAAGAAAATAGGGACATCATCAATTATTTGGTCTTCCATAACATTGCAGTAAAGACACCAAAGGGAAACCCTACAAAAATTGAGATGCCAACTGGAAAGAAATCTAAAAATATCTTCACCTACATAAGTACAAATACAATCAATAAGTTCTTGAGCTTTGGCAATAGGGATCAAAGAAAATAAATCTTCACTAGAATTCATCTCTGCAACTTCTTGCTTGTAGGCTGCAATAAAACTTTCAGAAGGGGTTAGAATAAAAATAATTTTCTTTTATTTGATTTATTACTGGAATTTTTTCTAAAAACAAAGTATTTATACTTAATCCATTTATATCCAAAATTGCTGGATAATAATTATTCTATGTTTGACAATGAAATGAACAAGTTTTATCTTGTTCTAAATTAGTATTTTCAGATAAAGAATTACTTATTTCTTTATTTTTTACTTCAGAATATAAGTTTTCAAAATTTAACATTTTTTGTTTAAAAGGTTTACCCATGATTAGTTTATTAATCTGCCTTTTGGTTAAACACTTAGACGTAACATAACTAATTTTCTCATACTTAAAGTACTTGATGAACCTTTTGTCCTTTTCCTTGAATGATTTAGTAGATTTATGGGTTTACTTTTATTAACTTTGTCCTTATCTCCATTCCTTTTATGGAAAAGCTTATTCGAATATTCTTCTTGAGATTCATTATTTTTAAAAGTTAAAGTTTTTTCTGGAAGATGTTCATCAATTATTTTATTGATTTGTTGAATTTTAGTTTTAGTTTGCTCTACTGGTTCTGTCTGGGATATTAATGACAGATTTTTTAATTTAGTTTTGAGTTTATTTATAAACTCTATTTCTTCTTCATCATAAATGGGTAATTTTTTAAGTTCATTTATTTTATTCATCTTTGGTGGAGCATGATAAGTTAAAAATCATTTAACAAATGGAACTATCACTTTTTCTCTTTTTATATAAAGGTAAAACGTTTTTTTATATCTGTTAAGATCATCTTGACT